CAGTTACACATTTATCTATCAGCCAGGGGATTTTAGGTTTATTAAAATTCTAATTGATTTACTGTTTAGAAGATAGATTAATGATGTGGCTTATAGAGAACTGCAAATGTAAGATATGTCAGGTGAATTGTACACTGTATTGTCCGCACATTAGTCCAGATATTAATGGTGTGGGAGTGGTTACCTGTGTTTGCACTGCAGGGGTGGATATTTTTTCTAAGGGGTCTCCTCTCTTGTTTATGAAGAAATGTGGTCTTCAGAGAAATAACAAGACTTCATCTTCAGGGTTATATTTCACCTGCAATGCTCCCGTGGGTCCCTGGAGAAGGAATGATAAGGATAGGAGATATACAGTATGAGGAAAGATTGCTTCACACAAGCACACCTTAATAAGTACTTGTTCTGGAATTTTAACACAAAACATCCTTGAGACAATAATGCTAACTAATGAGCCAATATATATATTTACTAGTACAAAGTCGACCATTTCAAATGTTGAACACTGCTGAACACATTCTACATAGGCCTACAATTCAGTTACCAAAAGCCCAGTGGTCTCTAATTTAGGGTGAATGGGGAGTGTGGGGAAACATGCAGCAAGAACATGCACAAAATATAAGCTAAACCCATATCTGGAATTCACTGTATGTTTTACAACTGTGCAGCAGTAGCTCATGCTAAAAAGTGCTGCCCAGCAGAGCAAAGAGAAGACATGGCCCTAGTCAAGTCAGCGTTAAAGAGCAGTGCTGCCATCTAGTGAAATAAACCTCGTGTTACACAGTATCAAACAAAACGATCTATATTTGCACTGCAGAAGTGACACACTTGTTGAGAAAGTTAATAGTACACAAAAAGAGACGAAGATATGCTACAAGAACAGAAAGACGGGTTAAACTGCCTTTTTTACGCTTACAGTTAGGACACTTTAGGAGGGAATAATGGGTTTCCTCTGCTCGAGTGTCACAACAACAAAGTGAGCCGATAGACGACATATTAATATCCTTGACTAAAACAAGGTTTATGATAGTCTCAAAAGAAAAAAACCGGAAAGAATACAATACATTGACGTTAAATTATGTTAAATGGGCAGTTAACTTACCTGAGGTCTCGAGTCACTTAGGTAAATTATCATTACACCTGGGTAAAACAGAGTCCATTCTCTTCGGTTCGAAACATAATCTCAGCAAATCCGACGACTTCTCAGTTGCAGTGGGTGACATTATTGTCACTAGTAAGAAGGAAATTACATACCTAGGATCTATTCTTGAGGCAAACCTCTCCTGTGACAAAATGGCATCCAATGTAATAAAAAAAGTCAATCAAAGAACTAGATTCCTATACCGGATCTCCTCTCTGGTAAACAAAAGCACCCTGAAAACTCTGGCAGGAGCACTCATTCAAGGGTACTATGACTATGCTTGCACGTCATGGTACCATAGCACCTCCAAGGCGCTAAAAATAAAACTTCAAACATCGCAAAAATAAACTGGTCAGACTACATCTAGAACCCACCTCACCTCTGCCCACTTTGACAACCTAGGATGGCTTAGAGTAGACGACAGAGTACAGCTACTTGCAATGGGCCTGGTCTACAAGATCCACTACACCTCTATGGTACCCATGTACATGTCAAAATTCTTCCCAAAGGTCAAGGAATACCATGATCATAACACCAGAGGGAGCTCCACAAATCATGTAAAACCCAGATTTGGCACAAAAAAGGGGGAATACACGTTTCGCAATTATGCCACATCAAGGTGGAACGCTCTTCCCACAACTGTAAAGGAAAGTAAAACTATACTTACCTTCAAAACCTCTCTTAAAGAGCACCTTCGGGGGAGAGCATTGCAAAACTGGCCCCGGTAATGGTACAAATCTCAACCTGTCGTACAATGGACAGCTTCCCCCCCCATCTATGTATATACTCGCATTTTAGACTCTGTTACTAACTGTATATCTGTAGACTTGGTATGTCTTAAATGTCCGGTTAGGATGTATTAGAACGAAATCTAAAATGAAAATTGTAAATAAGCCATCTGTATGTAAAAAACCACCTGTATGTAAATTGTAAATAAGTCATCTGTATGTCAAATATGTCTTATATGTCTTAAATGATATGATGAATTGGAAATGGGGGACCCTGATGTAAACAAGACGAAAGTCTTTCTCTGGTCTGCATCCCCTTAACAATTGTATGTTTTGAGCTGTACTGTACTGTACCCAATATACAAGCTGTTAATAAACTTTTCAATCAATCAATCAAACTTCTCAGGTGAGTGGAGCAGTAATGCTAACGTTAGCAGGTAACGTAAGCTGCTTTAAAACACAGGAAGCATCAAATCCTGGGTTTCCTAACACAAATAGTTTATAAAGTAGCTATGTGGCAGAATAGTGGGAAAGGATAAAGAAAGGGAGAATATAACAAGTTAGTACTCTTACAGAAACTGACATAGGCTTGTTTCACCATCCACAATGTGTGGCTGTGTAGGCCTAACGGTGTGCTCACAATGTTTGTTGATGTAACATTGTTACTAACTTTTTGAACAAACAAATACAAAAATAAAAGCCAAGGACGTGACTATGGTAATCAGTTATTTCAGGTTGGTGTTTGACAGACATTCACTCTGGATCCAGTCATCCAGTGGCGTCTTCTTCCCCAGTTTCACAATGTCTGTAGTAGGACGGTTAGCTCACATCCGAGGCCTCGATCTGAACCACCTTTACAGTAGATGTTAACCTCAGGGGTTCACTTAGGAACCATCAATACATTCTGCTACCGTTTAAATAATATGAGATTCCAGGGCTGATTTTGAGTCCCATTTCGCCCCTCCTGGACACCGACCTAAGAAGACCCACCTCTTTATTTTGAATTGTATCAATTCATTTAGTAAACAAATACAAAATTCAGCTGTTTTTTACTGATAATTTTTTCATCTGTTTCCAGGTCTTGTGACCCAAAGACACCAATCATTGCAGCATTGTGTTACACCACTGGGCAGGTAGGACACAACTCTTGTTATTGTTTATCAGTGTTTTTTGTTTTTTTTGTGTAATATAATAATATTCTTTTTATTTTAAATAACTTTCTTATCATGTGACTCAGTGACTCCACATACATACAATATAGTAGTAGTAACTAAAATGGAAAAACAAGACAACTCTTTTTATTGTACTTTAGTCCCCTTTTTATGTAATATTTGTATTGTAAATTGGGTGGGTTAACACATTACAGAATGAATCAAAAGAACAAGCTTACCGAAAGCTTCCTGTTGAAAGGCAATTCTTTGTAAACGTAAATTCACAACTAAAACTCAGTCTATTCAAATAGGGATTGTGGGCAGATTATTTCCTCAGAATTGTCAAATCTGCGCATACCACAAGTACGGATATTTCTCAAGTTCTCAAGTAAATCCTTACCTTTAATGATTGAAATCCCCCATCATGTGTACATTAAATAGTTTCAACATCTCTTATCTTTAAAAAATATTAATGTTTTTAGAGCCTGACTGAAAAAGGGTTACCCCATTCAGAAGCCGTGAATTAATTAATTTTGTATTTCCTTGTGCTGTTTGTTTTGTTTATTGTTCTAGTGACATTTGCACTAACAAATGGTTCGGATTTGCACGTGTAGTCAAAGTTCAGAAAATTGAAATCTAATTTACATTTTAAAATTCTACTTCAGTACAAATGGGGACATTTAAGGTCACTCATCTAGAAGTGTGAGTTGTCAAAGTGAGACACTATATTCTGAGTAGTCATATGTGGATTTTACATGTAATTATTATTTTGTACATGAAGATTGGTGTCATTCACTTGGGGCTGGCTTTGCTAATATTTTTTTAATTGCACCCCGAAATTTGTAGGAGCTCAACAGATTTTCCACTGCAGGCGGAACAAAAACGGGGTTCTGAACAGAGTTTTCAAATTGTTCCACTGCAGAAACAACCAACCTGAAACTGACACAACAAAAGTCTCTCGAACAGGCCAAAATGTCACATGAATAAAAGCAGTCTAACGTTAGCCTTATACATCAATAAAACTCAGCCTATTTCAAATGTTTTTCTCAGAAGAAATTCAGCACCAGTGTCTCTGAAGTATTAACATGCATGAACAGTGCACATATATTATAATCTATTTTAGACATATGACATCTTCACACAGTATATGTGCAGTGACAGCCAGACAGAAACAACTGTCATCAAAGACATTAATTTGATATTTTTGTAAGATGTTGTGTGTTTTTGTTTTTTTAAATCTAGTGATAGACACACTAAGAAGTGGTTATGAATTGTAGTCAAGGATTAGAAACATTTAAAATGAAAACACATTGTTGAACTCTCCTTCAGTTCACTTCAATACTGATGGGTGCATTTAAGGTCACACACTGCAGCGATGTGTGTTGTCAAAGCAAGGAAGAATACGCTGTGTTTTCGTATGTGGGTTTTACATAATTTGGTTATTTGCACTTCTGATTGCTGCCATTCACTGAAAGGGTTGTCTTTTTTGATGTACTTTCTGAATTGCACCTGGAATTTGTATGTAGGAGCCGCCGCAGACAGAGTTTCCACTGCAGAGGGAAAAAGGTCAAAAGCAACCTGAATCTGACATAACAAAAGTCACAAAGGCCAAATGTCGGTGTGAATATAAGGCAGACTATTTTAAGCCTTATTCATTTTTAACACTTTCCTGTTTTCAAATGTGTTTCTCGGAAGAAATTAACTGCTTATTTGATCTTTGAAGGCTTAACATTCAATTTAAAGTTCAAATATATTAAAAACTAAGATATATATATATATATATATAAGATATATTAAAGCAACACTGGAAAATACAATAGATAAATACATAATCTTTACTTTAGGGTGACAATATATAATATGTTTTACCATTTTATGTTTTTTTAAGACCTTTTGTTCATTGAGAAACTGATGGAAAAACTCTTAATGTATAAGTCAAACCAGAAAATCACTTTAACAATAAACTCAACTTTATTGACAGTAAAAAGTTTTGAGAATATCAAGGGGCACGCATTTGTAACGGCAAGAACATCTTGAAAAGCAACACGACTTGTTAAAATAATGAGGCAGTTTTACATCTTTAACTTTGAGGTAAAGTGTTTTGTCATGTTACATCTTTCACAAAATATCGTATAACATTGAAAAGTCCACACAAGGAGACAAAAACCCATGCCTCATTTTCACTTCTTGAAATCACTTCACATTTTCAAAAATAATTCGCAATTCAGGGAAAAGCAGAAAATGACAAGCACACATGCTATATTCCATTCACACACATTTCTCTATTTATCAAACCAAGTGCATTTTTAGGTTACTTTTTTCTCGAACAGTTTCAAGTATATTTTTGCCTGCAATCGAAGGAAATTAAGTTAAACTATGAAGCAGCAAACCAACAATAACAAGTAAGAATACTGAGTTTGGTGTCATTCATGTTCCCAATATTAACATTATCAGATAACTCACCATACTGTAGCAATAAGGTATTAGGGTGCTATAAAGAAGCAGGAGGTAACATTTCATGGACTTGAGGAATATGCTGGATAAGATTTGGAATATAGCTGATTAAATACACCAAGGCTAAAACAAACAACACTAAATAGATAATCACAAGGGATAACTGACAGATCCAAACTGATTTGTTAATCTTTAAATATTAATTAAATTAATTTGTTTTCTCATTATGCAAACTGTTTAAAAACTCAGCCTTACCTGCTGAGTGCAAAACCACAAAATAACGATTGTAGTTTAACAGATTTTTTAATTCTCAGTTACACATTGCAGCAAACTTGAGTGTAGACCGCAGAACCAGTGCACATGGTGGGTTTCTGTAAAATGTCAGCTCTGTTAAAAATACACTGGTGTTGCAAATTAGATGATCAATTATTGTGATTACTATGCAATTTATCAGTGCAGTAGAACAATCACAGAAAAAAACAATTGTAAAGCCATCAAGTGATTAGGCAAGGATGTTCATATATAAGCAGGGAACCTAAAAAGTGCAATCCTGTAAAAGCACTCTGGGCCATCTTATGACAAGGCTCCTGGTCTGATCTGCACCAGTATTCTAAGGCTCACTTTAAAATCCTAAAAAACTGTTCTAAGCCTGAGCCCTGAAGGCCCTAAAATGTTTTCAAGTTCATTTCCCCTCACAATTTCATTTTGTCCTGATAGTCTCACTGCGTTGTCTCTTTGTGAAGCATTGAGGTGACTTCACACATGCTGTAAACAATGTATTTCCACAGCAACACACTACTGTAAGAGTTAAGGCAATCCATTTCTGTGCTTTGTCTGTGACAAAAGCTTTTCCTAAACCCAGAGCTACAAAGCTCTCAGTGCATATTAGGCTTACCTGACACACGACACAGTACCCTCCTCAACCACGAAAACAAAGCTCTTAGTGCATTCTTAGCGTACCAAATAGAATTAATAAAATGTACATGCCATGCTTTCCTTAACAGCCTGTGCACATGACCTTTAAAAGGTGCTAACTAAATCACTTAGGAAAAGATGGCTAGTCAAGTTTTTTTGAGCACCACTTCCCCTCCATTTTTTTTAAGTCGAGAGGAAATCCTCAAAGAAGGCACTTTTGAAGCAAAACCAGTTGTTTTGCCAGATGATTTGATATGGGAGTGCAATCAATCATAGAATGTATTTTGCCTCCACTGAACTTTAAATGATGCGGTAAAAAGATTGTTTTACTCACTTTAGTTTAATAAATATCCTCACAATAAAACCACATATCCTTCTACCTACACTAGGGATTTAAAGCAACTGATCTGGTGCAGAACAAACAGGAGCCTACAACTTTAAAGCGCAACAGTCACCTCTCCTAATTTGTCTACTATCCCCTCTCCTCAGTCCACCTGATGCTCTCCGCGGCTGATGTGAGACGAGAACTCGTAGCGGTCCTGGCTGCGGTGGCCACAGATGTTGCATTCGAAGGGTTGGCGGAAGCCATGGCAACCCATGTGGATGGTGAACATGACATGGTCAAGGAAGAGGATGCGACAGTGCTGGCAGTGGAAGGAGCTCACAGCCCGGCCATCCCTGTCTAACACCTGCACAGTCCCCCTGGAAGAAAGGGGTGAGACAGGGTTCCTCTTTGCTATGGTGGGGGGCACAGGACACGCTCTCCCCCACTCCAAGTCTTTGGCCCGCCTGGGGCTGGAAGTGGGATGGTTGCGGGGCAGTGCTGGGGTCTGGTAGTGGAGGTGGTGGTTGTTGGAGGTACTTGTCGGGGCTGTAGCCCTTGTGCTCTGCTCTTCTGCTGTGCTCTCTGTGTCTGTAGAGTCGGGGCAGCCGTTGGGCGAGGCAGTGTGGCTGGGGGCTGAGCGTTGGTCATCGCGGCCTTCACCTACCTCATGCCCAGCGAGGCCTAGTGACACTGCCACCAGCCCACCCCCACCACGTGCTCTGGGGCCTTGAGGATTCACGTTGCTTTTGATTGAGCCCATAACCGTGCGTAGCTCCGTCAGGAAGGCAGGATGGAGCTGAGACAGGGCAGGCGGCTCAAGGTGATCCCCTTTACCCCTGCTGCCTTGGAGACGGGAACCAGCCAACCCAACAAGGTCCCCTGCTGTCTGAGAGTTCATAATGTCCCCCTCTTTCTCAGAGCCGGAGGACAATTCATAAGGTGCTTCAGGTAGGTCAAGGTGCATGTGCTTTTCACCTGTGAGAAGGAATATCAATAATCACTATTTTCCCGCCTCGCGGTCGAATGCTTTGAATTTCTTTGAGATTGTCATGATTAGCATATAAATTCTTGAGGAACAGAAAATAACATTTTTGTAAGGTCACAGTGACCTTTGACCTTTTTGACAACCAACATCTAATCAGTTCATCCTTCAGTGGAAGTGGATGTTTTTGTGCCAAATAACAGGGTGTCCGCGGGGTCTTAAAAAGTATTAAAAGTTGATAAATCAATTTGGACAAAAATTAAGACTATTAAAAAGTATTAAACGGCATTTTCCAAGGTATTACATTTTGTAGCTTGTTTTCAATAAGTATATAAATTGTCCAAAGAGCTTGTATTCTACAGTGTGCCTGAATGTAATCATTGCGTTGGTGTGTAGTGTGATTCTGTGTAGTTTATTTATGGCAGCCCGTTGGATTTGACGTCATCTGAACAGGACATCACGCGCTCACTGCTTGATAGCGTGCGAAGGTCCGTTTACGCCGGTTGTTAAACAACATCGTTATGGGGAAATGCAAGTTTGCGTCCAAATGGTTGGAAGATAAGGAGGAAGGACAATCAATACTGTATATAGTAAATGTGAGGTAAAGTGTCGCCAATGTAACCGGTTAAAACTCCAAGTGGCGATGAGGTCTTAAAATGTATGGAAAGGGTCTTAAACAAGGTCTTAAAAGGTATTCCATTTGACTTCAGGATTCCTGCATATACCCTGAATAAGAAAGAAAACTTGAATGCTTTCCTGTGATATTGGGTTCTTGAGAATGGGACAAATGGATGTAAAGAATGAGAAAGTGATTGACGACACAACGCTGACGCAAAGGCATTATAACAATTAACATCGATTCTGACCCGTCACTGCAGGACAACTGTTGACATTAGACAAAGACCCAGTTCATATGATTTATGTTCTTTATCAAGCTAAAAACATATCAATATAACTATATAATGGACATTTAAAAAAGGAATATGCATGCATAGTAGGTTATACAGTACACTTACTAATTCTGACAAACATGGATTGTCTTTAACAAAAATAAACTCACCTAAAAACTTCTGTGGCGTTGACCTCTTGCGTTTGGTGATGCTGATAGCCAGTCTATCCACAAACTGGACTTTTTCATTGGATGGCTGGAGCAGAGGTTTAGTAATTGTCTCCATATTTACTGACTCTTCACCTTAAAACAGAAAACACATAGTCATCAATATACCAAATAACTCATGTGCATAAATATGTTAAACTTTCTTTATTCAATCTATTTGCATTTACAACAATGCAGAAACGTATACGTTTGTTGGTGAGTTTCATGATTGCTTGATATGTTACCCTGTGCTGTCTGTGCGCCGACTGCTGTCTGGTGCTCCAAACTCTTCAGATAACTATGGCAGCGCTCTAGATGTTCATCCAGTGTGCTCTGTTGTTTGTAGCTGCGACTACAATAGCTGCACTTGAAAGGTTTGCCCACGGTTGGAGAAGAGGCTGCAATTCAGAAAATTCAGAAAATATATTAAATCGGATCTACGGGTATAGCTCAGTGATTATTGCCAGCGGCCCATATGTGGTCTCCACTGCCAAGTATGCGGGTTCAACTCACTATCATAGAACGTCTTTCCATCTGTCTTCCCCCTCCGCCTTTATCTATCAATGAAGGCACTATCTGGCCCAACAAAAAAAACCTTAGACGAAGGAAACTGTTGATCAAACCTAAACCCATAGTGGTGATGTTTATTATTGTATTTGTTGGAGGGGATTTTTGCAAAGTATAACTTATTTATGGCTAGGTATGAGAAAATGGATTTCCCCGTTGATTGGCAATTCCTGAAATCGTTTTATATTGCTCGCCACTGACGACAGAAAACGCCTCACCCTTCACCGCAACGTTTCCTCTCCGAAAGCCATCGAAAAGACTGACGTCAATTCGCTGAAATCCAGTTTGCAAGAATCTTTTCTTCGAAAATGAACCTGAGACCCGAGGAAATCCACCAAACAAGACCTACTGTAACTAGAGGGTGTCAACACCTGTTGAATGTGTGTTCCAAAATCTATAGAGCCAACAGGATTTCCTGTTTTCAAAAACTGTTAAATGTCATATTTAGTCATGTGTTTTACAGTACATTCTGGTGAAGATGACTTCCTACTTTCTTCACAGAAGGGGGCCGTTCTAATGAATCCCCACTGTTACACACTTTATAGCCTTCATCATAATACAAGTAATAATAATGTTATGGGACAACTGCATCCATCAGGTTCACTAAATAATTAGGTACATGAAAAAGCTCTTCATGCTTTTGATGATAGTTCCTGTTGTCTGGCACTTAAAGCTCACTTTACCTGCATGTGTGCGCAGATGTCCAGCCAGGGCGTCTCTCCGGCGACAAGCGTAGTTGCAGACGTGACATTTAAAAGGCTTCTCTCCTGAATGCAACTTGATGTGGCGCAACAAGTTCCCCTTCTGGGTGAAGGAAGCTCCACACTGGTTACACTGGAACGGCCTCTCACCTATGAACACATGGATAAATGGACAGAGGATTTAATGACATTGAAGGTAGTATTCTGTCTCTAAAATGTACTTGTTGGCTTGTCCTCACCTGTGTGGCTACGCTTGTGCACCATCAGCACGTTGGGTCCAATGCAGATCATCCCGCACACCTCACACTGGAGCTTCCCATTGGGGAGCCGGATAGGTCCTGGTGAAGAAGTATTTGGACTGGCCATGTCATTGTAAATGCTTCCTCCGTCTTTTCCAGCCCTAGCGTACTCTGTGCTCCCTTCCTCCATGGGGTCCCCTCTGTCATCCCTCCTGATATCGTCCCTCACAGCCTCTCTGTTCTCCGGCTGTGGAGCACCTGGTGACTCATCATCGCTGCACAGCTCGACCTTGATGGAGTTTTCTGAGTAGAGCGGGTAAGGGAAAAAAAACTCATTGACTTAAAATATTCATTTCATACAGACTATGGGGCCACAATGAAAACCGGGGTATAATAACTGACCACTAAGGGAGCGGTGTGGTGAGGACTGCTGACTGTTTGGAGATCTTACTGAAGGGCCCTGCGACCCGCTATAAAAATCCTGTTCCGTAGATGATTCTCCTCCATTACCTGAAACACAATAATGCCCATGTTATTAAGGGAAACATTGAAGCCTGGAGACTGTACCTACCAATATACAAAGTTACTTCTTTACATATAAATGTACCTGGTGCATATGAGCGTCCATTGCAGTCATCAGCATTCATTCTCTCCCCAGATGCCTACAAAAATAGGATACAAAAATCTAAATGTTACTATTTTCAAATTGTTGTTGAATTAATTTCTTAAATGTTAATCACATGAAAATAGCATATATCAACTTGGCTGCTTATCATATAAAATATCCTTACCAGCTCTTTGTTACAAGAATAAGAATAGCAAAGATATAGTTCTTTGCTTTCGGATCTAAGTGTCTTAGTTCACTGTTATATATTAATTAAACTTCTGCCCTTATGTATCATGTAGATTCTTCCACGCCGTGGCCAGCAAATGAATATGAGAAGTCTCACATTTATACAGACTTAAAGTTTTAGAGGAGGAGTTAAAACTCCAGGGTTGGACAAAATAGCTGGAACATCTTAAACCTCATTGACTCAAGGAGGGAAATTAAGCAATAGAGCAGAACAAGAAGACAGAGATTGAAAGAATACGGATGGATAAGAACATTACTTTATGGCTACAATAAACAGATTTTTGCAAATCCAAGTTAGAAAGCTATAAATAGTATGTTCCTTAACCAGTGTTCATAAATGTAGCCTATTTGCAAAACCAGCATATGTATGATATATTCCGTAATTATATAGCTTCACAAACCTTCTCATTTTTTTTTGAGAATACAGGTTATATTTATTTTTTGTAGTTCCTTAGTTCTACTGTTCCTGTTATTTTGTCCACCCCCTCTGCATACTTGTAATTGGATAATAATTATTCATTTGGGTTTTTAATTCTAGGTTACATAGTGCAGTTACCTCAAGTGGTATGCAACACATTTTCAACACTGGCGGTGTAGAGTAACAAGGTTTCCAGAGAACATGTTGATTTTTTGTGACCACAGTTATGGTGAAGCTTGGTTTATTTTCATGATGGAAAAAAATGGACAGAAAAATAACACAGATGCTGCACCTTTTGCTCAAATGGATGACAACAACAATGGACAGAGGAGACTGTGAAGCGGGAAGGGGGGGCGGAGACAACGGATCGCAGGGAAAATGAATATCCTGGCATTGGCCGCGCATGGGGAGCAACAGGCGCTGATGCAGCCCGGAGACGCGCCAGTCACACCAGGGCACGCCGATTAAAAAAAATAAAGGGGGGGGGGGGGGACGCGCACCAGCGATAACCCTTGTCTGACAGTCCTTTCAGGGCGACTGTGCTATAAAACATACTGCCTTACATGTTCAAATAACTATCATGCCTCTTCTTCTGCCATAAGCGTGGCTACTTGTTGTAGCTGCTCGGTGGATGTGCTCCGTTAATGTATGACACCAATCAGCTCATAGACGGTCGAGACAGCGGCTAGACAACACGACAATTTGTTGCAGGAGTTGCCCCGGTCCAAATTGTCCGCATGAAGGCGGCTGTCATCCAACATCGAGCCCGTCAAAGCGGCCAGGGCTATACAATGTTTCTCATGAGCCGTTGCTATGGCACCCGACCACACGACAAATGGCATTCACCCAACCAACTATTCAAAAACATGCCGCACTTCCACATCAAAACCGACGGATAGTCTTACCGAGCGCCGCGGTGAAGTCCACAAGCCTTCACCTTACCTGGCGACCGATCGGTGTTTTCCTTTTTTAATTGTCTGGATGGCTTTTTGTTTTCCCAGGCGACGACAGCATCTCCGGGATTTTTTTTTTTTTTACCTGGGAATCCCAAACAACTTCCGGGCCCATGCTGGGATACAGACCGAATAATTGTACAACAGAGCTCTTGATTCAGTGATCGCCGAATGCATCGATGCATGTCAGCTTCGTGTACAGGTGCTAAAAATGTGATGTTATGTTTGCCATGACAATAACTAATAGGCAGACTTATTTTGGCTGATGAGCATACATTTTTGTTTGGATAAAGACACACTGGCTGCACAGAGGCCAGTTTACCTGCTACATGTTATCAAGTTATTCAAAGCAAATGCAGACAGTTTATGATAAAGGCCTCTTCCGGAAATGCAAGAGGATGGAGTAGGTTTTTTTTTTACAAGTTATTTCCCTTTTTTGGCGTCTGTCTTTGAACTATAATAACATGAATACAGCATAATTTAATTTTTTTTTTATTGAAATGCTCTAAAATGACAGGATATGTAGGCAACTTGGTGTTGTTAGGCAAGCATGTAATAGCAAGAAAGCACACAGTGAAACAAGTACAATTCTTGTGATGAAATAGTTTATGGTGACATTACACCTGTAACAACACAAGGTGGCAGCAAAGTGCTGCTTGAGACTAAATATATGCCAAGTACTCTGTGAAATGCTGTGTAAGTCTTTTTTTTTTTTGATTGATGTTCAATACAGAATATAAAAAATGACTGAAAATCAATGTCATCAAGAGTCTCACTTTATTCGGGGAAACTATTTGAATCTCTGAGGTTTGTGCCGTCGTAGAAGGATCTCATAAGCCTCATTGATCTTCACAAACATGGCCTCAGCATCCTTGCTGGGGTTATGGTCTGGATGCCATGTCTTGGCCAGTTCCCTATAGCTGCGTGTTATGTCTTCTAGGGAGGCCTCTATTTCCAATGACAAGACCTGCAACACAAATATATCCACATACACAGTTTTGAGATTATGACAAAGCCAGATGAGTTGCTTTACATGCTAAAAATGCTCAGACTGATGCACAGTATACACCTTAAGGCATATATGTCACCTAGCCTTTTCAGAGGTATGTGTTTACTCACTCGCAGAGCCTCTTTTTCTTTCTCAGTGTACTCTTTCAAAAGTATTTCCAACATCCTCCTCCAAGCGTCTTCATAGTAACCTCCTCCAGTAATTACACACAAGAGCCGATATGGCATTAAAAGAATGTACTCAAACACATTTCGGAGCCAAGGCAGGAACCAGAACATATCCAGCAGTGCTGCTACACAGTCAGACAGGTAGTACAGTGTGGCTGTGGTGTTATGGAAAATACAGTAACCCAGCGGAGCAGAGAAGGCCAGCCAGGCCAGACCAAGCCTGTAAATCCGTGGTCCTAAATAAGACAGAAGAACATTTAATTGTAGTGAATCTTAAAGGTTTGGTGAGGGACAGTGAAAGTACAAGTAGAACTGATGGTGTTGTCTTGTGAGGTGTTCTCACCTAGTTTCTGTGAGCTCCCTGGTGGCGGTGGAGGTCTGTGCCTGCGGTGCGATGCAGCAGTAACACTAGCAGCCAGGCTTATAGGGAGGGTGGATAAGCTGCTGCCATAGAATATTGGGGAGGTTATGAGACAAGTAGTCAACGTTTTCCTGAGATCGGAAGTCTGCTGGCCGATACATGACACCAGATGTACCCCTGCACCCACACATAAAGGCAGGACAATCAAGTAGAAGAAACTGAGGGAGTTCAGTCCAATCAGAGCCACGGTGCCGAAATAGATCCCAACAAACACCTGTCCAACAAATCTGACAGGGCTCACAGGTGGGAGGACCATAGTGGGACGTGTTTTTCTGTCTTTTTCTGCCTCTTGATTGGCCTCGCCAACATATGCAGGAATACGTATGAACTCTCTGAGCCAGCCAAACCCGAATCCTCCCAGGGTGAGCATCCATAACAGAGCATGGCTGTCTCTTCCTAAATATACATGGTGAAGGCCCAAAGGCCCACCCATTGCCCACAGGACATAGGCTACCATGACACTTTTTGCCATCCTGTGGCCTTGGTGGATCACTTCCTCGACAGTTCAATATAAGTCCTCCTTCATGAGTACCTGCACAAAAAAAAGGAAATAGTTAAGTCTTCATTTATGGCATTTTTTTTAACATCTCAAAACCACATCATAGAAAACCCACCATAACAATCCCTGAACACCAGACAAAAGAAAGACATGTAATAAAATAGTGTAAATATGAGGTCTGACTAATACTATAATCGAAAATAAAAAACAAATAGACATAACCAATAAACTAAGGTGAATCAAAACACAGTACATACAATGTTAAGTACATTTGTCACATTACTTCTCCGATTCTCTGTTATGCTGCGTTGCCTGCTGATAGCTATTTTACATTATGTATGCATTTTACCTCTTTCACAAGTCATTGTTGTACATGTCAGTGTGTTTTCTCAATGGCGTGTGTGCTCCTGGTATCTCGGCAAGTGATTTTAATCTCTTTCCTGGTTAAATAATATATTATATAAGAGGGATTTATCTTAGCTCATGATTTTATGCCATTACATGATTGAAAATGTTGCCGGCTGTAACTGACTATGTTTTTAGATGTGTTTTTTCATAGAAAAAACCTCACATGTTTTACAAAAGGTCAGAATTTGACAAATGCACCAACCTTTTTTATAGAACCAATCCACAGTTATTCCAAAGGCTATATCAGTCTGCCCCCTTCAATGTATTTATTTAAAAAAATACAACTAAGATCTATTTTATTTAGCAGATAAAACAAGGTTACTTACTTAACCCATGATTTTTAAATCCTTATCCCCATGAATCCTTTCCTGTTCTTTCAGTAGTTGAAGTTGTTGCATGTTATTGCAACAGTTGGACTTTGAATCATGACAAGGAAATTACGCTGAGGCTTCATCCGCATTTAGGTCGTTTGGTCATCTGAACTGATAAGGTAAATAAAAGGTCTAAAGAGGACACGTGTACGAGAAAGGACACTGACTATCTTAAGTTACTCTGTACACAAAAACAATTGTTCTCCTTTGTTTATGATCTCAGAACAGTGGAAAAAAGTGTATTCCATGATCATTGCAAAACATTGGGCAGATTTATTTTCAAGATTATTTTTGTTGTGTGCACCACTAATCCATGTTCCCAATAGTAACAACAGCAGAAGATTAGCAACAATAAAATGAATTTTTAGCCAAAAGAAAAAGATTACTGTCATGTCCTATCTTGCTGACACACAGTATGCATGTGCTAAGGTTCAAATTAAAACCTATGATTCAAACTCATGGTGAACATCTTGTGGCCGAAAGTAATATTGCAACAACAAACAATCCCCTGCATCAACATTTTCCCCTATACCTCGTTGGAGAAAAAACATTTTTTTTAAGAAACTTGGAAAGATTATCCTTGCAAAACCTTTTTTTCACCTGTTCTTCCGGATTGAAAACAATTGAAATTGAGATATAGACTTTGAAAATTGATCAACAGATGTATTTGTTTTCTCACTTGCCTCTCAGTGCTTCAAAACATAATTCCATCTCAAATGCAGACTTCACTCACTGTACTTATTAAGTAGACCTACTTCAACAGTTGTTAACATTTATTAATACAGTGGTGTAAAGTTAATAAATAGATTTACTCTAAGTACTGTACTTAAATACAATTTTGTGAGACTTGTACTTTACTTGAGTATTTCAATGTTTTGCTTCTTTGTAATTCACTACAATTCAGGGGTAAATGGTTACTTTTACTCCACTACATTAATTTAATACTTTTGGTTACTTACTGAATAATGGTGTGATACATAATCAACCCTTAAATAAGACTTTAGTTAAACCTGGAGTAAATTCACATGCTACCTTGCATTAAACAAAGATATTGAAACATGCTCCACCTTTACCAGTGATAACACTCTAATGCATCAATACTTTTAATCAAAACATATCATATATATTATTCTGAAATGGGCCAATCTGCATTTACTTTTACATTTGATACATTAGCTATAGATGCAAATACTTTTCTAGTTGTATTTGAGTAACTATTTGAATGACTTTTACTTGTAACGGAGTAGTCACTCAGATCTGAGTATACAGTAGCCTACATGTGCACATCAAAGTGATGACCAATACAATCCGTATCTGTGCTATTTAAATTATGTACCTTCACCTTTGTATATGAATACCATAATAAGTGTGATGATACCGATGATGCTGACGTATTAATTACACTGATGACGGATGTTTACCTTAGAGAACTCACTGCTCCATAGTTTTAGTTTCCCCCTCTACATAACCACGAACATTTTGCACAACAGCAACTTTACACAAATGTAATCTATATACTATCATATGTTTCTGCTAATGTAATATATATATATATATATATATATATATATATATATATATATATATATATATATATATATATATATATAAGTCTGTCTATTTCTGTTGCTGTAGTATGTTGGTCTTTTATAGAACAGTCTAACTTATCTAGAACATTTTACAATAACTCATTTCTACTGTATACACTGTTGCCCATAAAGTTGGAATAAAATATGTTTTACCTCTTCTCATGAAATGATTGTGACAATTTGATTTTTTCTTGATAGATAAAGTGTATATCTTGTCAAAACTGTATTAATCAATCTCTTCCAAACATACCACAGTGAAAATTAAATAGGAATACAAATAGGAATGTGTCTGAAAACCAAATTATTCCAACTTTATGGGCATCAGTGTTTACTTGCTGTTTATTATTTTCACTTTTATTTTATTTTATTATCACCTCTTAATTATTTTTAATTAAATAAGTTCCCAATTTGGGATCAATCAAGTATCTACCTGCACACATGTCTGCTACCCCCCTCCCCACCCCCCCTCAGCGTGGCCCCGCCCCCTCACGACCCCTCCCTGCTTGTCTTTTATCAGGGTGACTGAAGCTAGCAGCTCACGGGCTAACTCAGCAGTTTAAATGCAGCCGGGCTACACAGCCACACATCCATGGCATTACTCACAAGATGCCCCGTGTTTTAACTTTTTTAACACATCCTCTCCTCCTGCGCTTCTCAGCCTGAGGACACTGTAATGGTTTCGGAGAATGGAAACGGAAGACGTGTCGGTTAGGGAGCAACTTTTCCACAACCGTGTCCGGGAGACCATAGTAAGTAACGTTACCGCTGTGCTAATGTAAACGTCAGTTATTATGCATATGAGGGGTCTCCTCTGCTCTCACAATGCAAACAGCTGCATAATCAGGGCAGGAAAGCCACGTCGTTTAATTAGAGTGTGTTTCACGTGATTTGGTAGCTGCTCAACGCTCCAGTTTAAGTTGACAGTGTCCCTTTTCAGCGTTATACAAGTATAAGTTTGTCGTGACTTTTAGGTACTCTGATGTTAATTCTCTGGCAAAACTTCTGTAAACGTTAATTAAAGCACGCAGGCAGCTGGTCATTATTGTGTGACACAGGAACATCAAGGAGC